TTTTTGGCGCTCATAAGTTTATCTTTATAATAAATACGAATGAATTGTCTCATTTTGCACAATTTTTTATTTTCCTACAAATTGTACCAATTCCAATGGTTGCTTTTAACATGGGAACCTTCTTAACTCCCATAGCCCTCCCCCCATCTTTCCCCATTCCACCCACCAATAGGGACTGACCCCTGTCTGATCTGTCTACCCCATTATAATCTAATACTCCCTCCTACCTTGATCCTTGTTTAAATACTCCTCCAGTCTTCCCATAAACCTCTCCTCCAGCACAACAGACCCCCATTCATTTAGGTGCAAACCATCTTTAGTATATAGGTTGAACCCCAATGAAAAGTCAGTCCAGTGCTTCCCTCATTCACCAGGTCTTTAGCCATGTATTCAGTTCTCTAATCTCACCCTGTCTTTCCTGTGTATATTTACAGAATATCACCTTAAGGTGCTGATAATCCTGACTTGCCCCTCCACCCTCCACATCAATCCCATTACCTACCTGCTCAGTGAGCAGAAGATCACTTTTTCAAGGTTGTCAGTTCTGCCTAGTTTTGCAACTTGCTCCTCCAGATCTCTAAACGTGGCCTCCAGAAGGGCAACCAGTTCACATCTGTCGTAGCTGTATGCATCCTGGAGCGGTCGCTCCGTAGTTGCATACATGCGGCACACTTTGCACTGCACAATACCTTAATCCTGCTAGCACTCATTATCCCAGTTACAATACGAACAGGAAATATCAGAGGTCACATATAGGTTAGAAGACTTCTTATAATCACCTATTTTCAACTACGGTTTTTAACTCCACTTAATCAAATGTCCACTTTATCAAAAGTCTAGTGAGAAAAATACAGGCAAGCTCAGTCTGGGTCCACACTAATGCAGTGCAGGACACCGCATGTAATTTGCTCAGGAATCGCACTGCATTCCTGTGCGAATTACATGCAATGTCTGTGTAGCGAGATTTTGAATCAAATCTTTTTGTATGGCTCAAATCACATTGCATCCACAACAAAAAGGTGCAGGACCCTTTGTTTTATCTGCACCTGAACCGCATCGCATGGGTGTTCTCACCCATGCGATGCAATTTCTGGCAATTGCTTTGCATTTGCAATCTGTTTCGGGGTGTCAATTTATCATCGACACCCGCACCAGATCACATGAATGCCATGCGATTGCAACGCGGTGCCGAAAACGCACAGGATTTGCAGCGTTTACCGCACTGCATTAGTGCGAACTCAGGCTCAAAGAAGAGCAAGCACAGAGTGAGCTCTACAGAAAGTTATATAATACCTGGAGCACCTGTGTGACCAGTTAACCCCTCCCCTTAATTAGCAGACTGAAGGAAGGAAAGAAAAAAAAATGCTATTTAAAAAGCAACAGAAAATGTAACCACTAGCCTACAGGGCACTTATACCCCTTCCTGCCCAGGCCAATTTCCAGCTTTCAGCGCTGTCGCACTCTGAATGACAATTGCGCGGTCAAACAACACTGTACCCATATGAATTTTTTTATCATTTTTTTGTGACAGATAGAGCTTTATTTTGGTGGTATTTAATCACCTCTGGGTTTTTTATTTTTTCTTAAACAAACCAAAAACCATTGGAAAAAAAAATGTTTCTTAGTTTTTGTTATAGAATTTTGTAAATAAGTGATTTTTCTCCTTCACTGATGTGCGCTAATGAGGCTGCACTGATGGGCACTGGTAGGCTGCACTGATGGACATTGACAGGCATCACTGATGGGCACTGAAAGGCAGCACTGATACATGGCACTGATAGGCAGCACTGATACATGGCACTGATTGGCATTGATGGGTGGCACTGAAAGGCAGCTCAGATGGGCACCAATATGTGGCATTGATGTGCACTGGCACGAGGCACTGATGAGCACTGACATAAGGCACTGATGGACACTGACAGGTGGCACTGCTGGGGCTACACTGATCATCAGTGCTCTGATGATCAGTGCACGTCCTGTCCACGGAAAGCCGATTACCGGCTCTCCTCTCCTCTCAAGCTGTCAGCGTGACAGCTCGAGAGGAGAGAAATGCCGATAACCGGCATTTCCCTGTTTAAATGTGATCAGCTGTGATTGGACACAGCTGATCACATGACCGAGCCGACATCTTTGGCTCTTTCCGTGATCGGTGATCCGCTGTGTCCGAGGGACACAGCGCACAGCCGATCAACGCGCTGCACGCTCCCTGAGCCGCGCTTGTGCAGTGAGAATAGGAGGACGTCATATGACGTCCTCCCAGAACGAGAGAACCACCTTGCGCCCGTCATATTACTATATGGCGGGTGGGAGGTGGTTAAAAAAGACAAAGCTGCTGGCAAGATCCCAAAGAAGAAAATAAAACAACTACAACCACAAGCAATCACCAGCAGTAAAAAAGCAAAAAAAATGTTTTTCACTCTCCACCCAAATTTCCCACCCTTTTTAGCTTCCAGCCAGCAATATGTGCCTTGTTACCAGGGCTGTGGAGTCGGAGGAAATTTTGGGTACCTGGAGTCGGAGTCGGAGTCGGCAAACAATGCTCCGACTCCGATTAAATTTAGATTGGAATTTAAAAAAAAAGCAAGTTTAAATGTCCCAATTCACAAAAAGTTATAATTAATGACTTCTCTACTTCTCTCTATCGTTAGTGATGTGGCCAGAATAGTTACTGCAATGCTACCCACCCAAGTCAGTGTTGAAAGATTATTTTCAGCCCTAAAAATAATAAAGTCTGACTTAAGAGCCTCTATGAAAGAGGATCTGGCAGAGGCAATTCTCTTCCTTAGAACTCTACATTGAATTGATTTGCATTTGCTAAGCCTATAACTACATTTCAAGATTAATATAAACCATTTCTAGGTTTTACAGATTTTGTTTTTGGTTCATATAGATAAGCTTTGTTTTTGTTCTAAAACAACCAAATAATGTGGTTTGTATTTTTGGACTGGTAAAGTTCCTGTTCCTGATGTTTATGCCTGCTGCTACTATCCAGCCACTTGATTAATTAATAAAAAAAAAAATTAATAAAACTTTGTTGTTTTCATTGTGTTTGTCTTTTGCTTAAACTGTTGGCTTCCCAGCCAGTAGTCCTGTGGTAATGACATGTATGTTGCCTTTCTTTCCTTCAAGGAATGTATAAAATACATTCGCATATTAATACAGAGGAGTCGGAGGTACACAAAACTACTTATTGCCTATGGGGATATTAGTTTGGGTCTTAAAGTCCAATTCTAGCTAGAATGATAATAACATAATGGGAAAGGAGCTGCCTATGTCACACCTCCTTCTGTGGGTCGGTATGATCAGCAACGCACTTGGTAGAGCCCTGCGCTGCTTAGAGCTCATGTAGCGCTGATTCCCAAGGCGGAAGTGAAGTATCAGAACATCCTATATCCTCCCCCCAATGCACAAAAAGATGCACAAAATGTTGTTGTGCAAAGGAGATTGTGACGTCATGAATTAGGAAACTTTTGGTTTACAGAAAAGCATTGTTTTAAAAAAAAGCTTACAAGTGGTTTACTTTGCCTACTGGAGAGGGAACTGTATGTAGAAAGGGAGAATAATCCTGCAGTTCGGCTTTAACCTTTACCTTGTTTTGCCTTTACTTGACACTAACGAACAAAAGTGGGGTTGCTCTGTGTATGCAAGTGCACCACAGGTCTTTTTGGGTCCATTTGGGAAGGGCCTCCTTATGTTCAAGTTCAGTTGTCTGCTGGGGACCACTTCTGACCCATGGGTCATATTTGCCCACCCCACCCCTTTAATAAATTAGACAGGCAGGCTACATTTCTCGTTCATGTCAACCTTCTGTGGATCAGTTATTATATGGGGACGCTATATCTTGTATGAAGGAAAAAGCATTCAGATCAATTAAGTCTGCAGCTTAGTCAGTTTGCATTTCTGATGTTTGGGTATAGGAGGTAGAATCCCAGGGCTAAAAACTGGAGTTTCGCTCCCTGCCCCCACCTCAATTTCTTCTCTCCAACCTTCCGGTGTCTCCCCACAGATTAGCAAAACTGCATTGCACTCTCAAGTCTACTGGATCAAAGGGCTATTGCCCCAGTTCCCATGGCGGAACAGCTTCAGGCATTCTTCCTCCAACGTGTTCACTGTTCCCATACACAAACGGGACAGTCGCCCCCATTTTGAATTTCATGTTCTGAATATCTTTATTTGAATCCAGAAACTCAGCATGCAATCATCAATATTTGTTATCTCCCTTTAAGGAGGAGACTATTTATGTAGACATCAAGGATGCATACTGTACCTGCAGGTCCCCAACTTTTCAGCACCAGGCAATGTAGTATACTGACCAGGTAAGTCTCTTAGAAGATGCTCTGGTGGCCCAAAGACCAATATAATATCCTACTTTATCATTGCTGGCTTTAACAGCATAGCCCTTGAAGCTAGGAAGGCTGCTTTCCATAAGCTTTATCATCAGACATAGAAGGCATACAGAAATTGAGTCTTGAGGCTTCCACCCTTAGAGTTTCTCCAAGGGATGAATTCTCTCCTTTCAGCAGCTGGATCTGGACCAGCATTTGGCTCTCTCACTTTCAAGGGCCAAGTTTATACCTGGTTTATCTTACAAAAGAACATTTGTCTTCACAATGGTGAAAGTTGGGTTGGTTGTGTAGATGAGGCGGTGGGGAAGAATGAAGGTCAGCTGCAATGGTGAAAGTGTGTGCGAACTTGCATCAAGACATGGTTTCCAGCATGGTAGTGAGAATGGGGTAGGCTGGCACAGTAGTTAAGGGGGTTTGGTACAATGGTGAGTTGCCTTCACTGAGAAGCTGTTAGCTGTACCTCCAGCTGGAGTCCAACAGATGGGGTGGGGAATGTTGGTGTTGTGAACTACAGATTACAGAGTCTGTATCACCCACTGTGCGGGTTGTGGTTGCTAAAAAAAGGTCAGGTCCGATTTAAGGTACACTTGCACCCAATTCAAAATGAACAGGCTGGCTCAAGATTGTGAAGGGGACCTAAAACAAACAAATTACCTGGTAGCTTTCTGCCCCTTGAACAAGGTCCTTCATAGAAGATGTCATCTGGAGCTTTTCTGCTCTTACCCGCTCTAATTCTTTTCTTATTGACTGAACCTTAAGAAAACAACAAAATTGACTAGATATAATTCAAATTTAAAACGTAACATTGTTTTGGACATAGTTTCAGAGAAGCACAGGACTGTTTTATTTGAATAGATTACTGGTATCACAAACCTTGTGTTCACGTTATCAGTAGCCACAGTGTTCATTCACTGGGCTACATAGATGAACTGACATTACTTATCACTATTGAACATACTCACATACCCGATGTAGGTTTTAGAAATGAAACAGATTACTGTCCCACTGCATGGTTTTGAAATGACTATATCTCTTTTTGTCTTATAATTTCATCCACTAGTAAACCGTGTGCTTCATTAGCTGTCGTCTTGTCTCCAGTTAGTGATTCACAAAGTACTAAAGTCAAAAACAGCTACAGTGCATCCAGGAAGTATTCACAGCAATTAACTTTTGCCTCATTTTATGTTACAGCCTTATTCCAAAATGGATTAAATTCATTTTTTTCCTCAACATTTTACAAACAATACCCCATAATGACAACGTGAAAGACGTTTGTTTTGAAATCTTTGCAATTTATTACAAGTAAAAAACATAAAAAAAAAAAAACAAAAAAAAAACACATGTACATACAGTGAGGAACAGAAGTATTTGAACACCCTGCGATTTTGCAAGTTCTCCCACTTAGAAATCATGGAGGGGGTCTGAAATTCACATTGTAGGTGCATTCCCACTCTGAGAGACAGAATTTAAAAAAAATAAATAATAAATAAATAATATCAGGAAATCACATTTGTATGATTTTTAAAGAATTTATTTTTCTTGCACTGCTGAACATAAGTATTTGAACACCTGAGAAAATCAGTGTTCATATTTGGTACAGAAGCCTTTGTTTGCAATTACAGAGGTCAAACGTTTCCTGTAATTCTTGACCAGGTTTGCACACACTGCAACAGGGATTTTGGCCCACTCCTCCACACAGATCTCCTCTAGATCTGTCAGGTTTCGGGGCTGTCACTGAGCAACACGGAGTTCCAGCTCCCTCCAAAGAGGTTCTATTGGATTTAGGTCTGGAGACTGGCTAGGCCACTCCAGAACCTTGATATGCTTCTTACGGAGCCACTCCTTGGTTATCCTGGCTGTGTGCTTCGGGTCGCTGTCATGTTGGAAGACCCAGCCACGACCCATCTTCAATGCTCTGACTGAGGGAAGGAAGTTGTTGCTCAAAATCTCACAATAAATGGCCCCATTCATCCCCTCCTTAATACAGTGCAGTCGTCCTGTCCCCTTTGCAGAAAAGCACCCCCAAAGCATGATGTTACCACCCCCATGCTTCACAGTAGGGATGGTTTTCTTGGGATGCAACGCATCCTTCTTTTTCCTCCAAACACGACGAGTGACATTTAGACCAAAAAGTTCTACTTTGGTCTCATCTGACCACATGACTTTCTCCCATGCCTCCTCTGGATCATCCAGATGGTCATTGGCAAACTTCAGACGGGCCTGGACATGTGATGACTTGAGCAGCGGAACCTTCCGTGCAATGCATTATTTGAAACCATGACGGCGTAGTGTTCTACCGACAGTGACCCTTGAAACTGTGGTCCCAGCTCTCTTCATGTCATTGACCAGCTCCTCCCTTGTAGTTCTAGGCTGATTCCTCACCTTTCTTATCAGTGATACCCCACGAGGTGAGATCTTGCATGGAGCCCCAGTCCAAGGGAGACTGGCAGTCGTCTTTAGCCTCTTCCATTTTCTAACAATTGCTCCAACAGTTGATCTATTTTCACCAAGCTCCTTGGCAATTTCCCCGTAGCCCTTTCCAGCCTTGTGGAGGTCCACAATTTTATCTCTGGGGTCTTTTGACACCTCTTTGGTCTTGCCCATGGTAGTAGTTGGCGTCTGACTGACTGTGGGGTGGACAGGTGTCTTTAAAGAGCTCAGACAGGTGCTACTAAGTTAGATTAATGAGTGGAGTAGAGGTGGACTTTTTAAAGGCACAGTAACAGGTCTTTGAGAGACAGAATTCTTGCGGTTTCTTAGGTGTTCAAATACTTATGTTCAGCAGTGCAAGACAAATAAATTCTTTAAAAATCATACAACGTGATTTCCTTTTTACATTTGGTCTCTCAGAGTGGGAATGCACCTACAATGTGAATTTCAGACCCCTCCATGATTTCTAAGTGGGAGAACTTGCAAAAATCGCAGGGTGTTCAAATACTTCTGTTCCTCACTGTAAGTATTCACAGCCTTTGCCATGACACTCAAAATTGAGCTCTGGTGCATCCTGTTCCCACTGATCATCCTTGAGATGTTTCCACAACTTGGATTAGAGTCCACCTGTGGGAAATTCAGTTCATTGGACAAGATTAGGAAAGGCATAAACCTGTTTATATAAGGCCCACAGTTAACAGTGCATGTCAGAGCACAAACCAAGCCATGAAGTCCATGGAATTGTCTGTAGACCTCCGAGACAGGATTGTATCAAGGCACAGATTTGGGGAAGGGTACAGCAAAAGTTCTGCAGCATTGAAGGTCCCAATGAGCCATAGTGGCCTCCATTATCCGTAAATGGAATAAGTTTAGAACCACCAGGAATCTTCCTTGAGCGGGCCGCCCGGCCAAAATGAGAGATCAAGGGAGAAGGGCCTTAGCCAGGGAGGTAACCAAGCACCCGATAGTCACTCTGAAAGAGCTCCAGCATTTCTCTGTGGAGAGGGGAACCCTCCAAAACAACAATCATCTCTGCAGCACTCCACCAATCAAGGCCTGTATTGTAGAGTGGCCAGACGGAAGCCACTCAGTAAAAGACAAATGGCAGCCTGCCTGGAGTTTGCCAAAAGGCACCTGAGGGGCTCTCAGGCCATGAGAAACAAAAGATTGAACTCTTTGGCCTTAATGCCAAGTGTCATGTCTGGAGAAGACCAGGCACCGCTCACCACCTAGCCAATACCATCCCTACAGTGAAGCATGGTGGTGGCAGCATCATGCTGTGGGGATGTTTTTCAGCGGCAGGAACTGGGAGACTAGTCAGGATCAAAAGGAAAGATGAATGCAGCAATGTACCGACCTTAGACTGGGGCGACAGTTCATCTTTCAACAAGACAACAACCCTAAGCACAAAGCCCACATAACAAAAGGAGTGGCTATGGGCCAAATCTATGAATGTCCAGGAGTGGCTCAGCCAGAGCCCAGAATTGAACCCGATTGAACATCTTTGGAGAGATCTGAAAATGGCTGTGCACTGACACTCCCCTTCCAACCTGATGGAGATTGAGAGAAACTGCAAAGGAGAATCGGAGAAATTGTCCAAAAATAGGTGTGCCAAGCTTGTAGCATCATACTCAAAATGACTTGAGGCTGAAATTGGTGCTAAAGGTGCTTCAACAAAGTATTGAGCAAAGGCCGTAAATACTTATGTACATGTGGTTTTTAATAAATTGCAAAGATTTCAAAACGAACTTCTTTCATGTTGTCATTATGGGGTATTGTTTGTAGAATGTTGAGGGAAAAAATGAATTTAATCCATTTTGTAATAAGGCTGTAACAACAAAATGTGGCAAAAGTTAAGCGCTGTGAATACTTTCTGGATACACTGAAGTTAACTAGTGTTTTAAGGGGAGATTGGTAATTAATGCCTATATAATTTGCTCAGCACAGTTTTTCTTTAAAGAGTTTTTTTAGCTTTAAAAGGTTTGTTACACAACATTTCATAATAAAAGTATCCTGTTCTCTTTGTATTGCTTCCTTTGCGTGAAATTTCTGGTGATCCAGACAGTTCCCATGCTTTCCAAATGATTCAGGTGTTATAACCTCCATGGCCACAGATGTATAAAATCAAGCACCTAGGCATACAGACTGCTTCTGCAAACATTTTTGAAAAAAGCTCAGTGAATTCAAGCGTGGTACAGTGATAGGTTGACACCTCTGCAATAAGTCCATGCGTGAAATTTCCTTGCTTCTAAATATTCCACGGTCAACCATTAGTGGTATTATAACAAAGTGGAAGCAACTGGGAACAACAGCAACTCAGCCATGAAGTAGTAGGCCACATAAAATGACAGATTAGGGTCAGCGCATGCTGAAGCGCACAGTACGCAAAAGTCACCAATTGTCTGCAGAGTCAATAGCTAAAGACCTCAAAATGTCATGTGACCTTCAGATTAGCACAACAACAGTGCATAGAGAGCTGCATGGAATGGGTTTCCATGGCCGAGCAGCTGCATCCATGCCTTACATCACCAAGTGCAATGCAAAGTGTCGGATGCAGTGGTGTAAAGCACACCGCCACTGGACTCTAGGGCAGTGGAGACTCTCTGGAGTGACGAATAAAATTTCTATGTTTTGCTTTCTGATGGACATGTCTGGGTGTGGTGGTTGCCAGGAGAACGGTACTTGCCTGACTGCACGGTGCCAAGTGTAACGTTTGGTGGAGGGGGGATTATGGTGCGGAGAAGATTTTCAGGGGTAGAGCTTCTCGTCCGACATCAGTGACTGACCTCACAAATGCACTTCTAGAAGAATGGTCAAACATTCCCATAGACACACTCCTAAACCTTGTGGGGAGGCTTTGCAGAAGAGTTGACACTGTTATAGCTGCAAAAGGTGGGCCAACTAAATTTTGAACCCTAGAGACTGGGATGCCATTAAAGTTCACGCGCATGTAAAGGAAGGTGTCCCAATATTTTTGGCAATATAGTGTATATACACACACACACACACATGCGTACACATACACAAAATGTTTTATCTTACATTTCTACTGTAAAGTGAAAGGGTTCACATACACTTTAATCAATACCTATCTTCTGCATGGTCTTATAATACATGATTGCCTGGTGAATAACCCAAGTACAGATAATTTTGTTCTAAAAATCAAAAGTAGCTTACCTCTTTTTTGTTGGCATCTAGTTCCTTCTTGGCTTTGACAGCAACAGCTTTAATCTTATTACATTTTTCTTCTCTCTCTTTGCAGTCTCTCTCTAGATTGTCTAGAAACAAATGACATGTTATTATAATAATATACAGAATGTTACTATATAATATCTTTCAGAACCTATCAATCTTTGCTGGCTTACTACTAAAGTGCTGGTGATTCCTATTCATACAGCATAGTCAATTTTGGCCAAAAAAAACAAACAAAAAATAAAATAAAACACAGTATTGCTTCTAGATCTGGCTATTGAATTAAAATTCACGGAGGTCTGGCCAGTAACATTTTTTTCCAGCAGAGGTCCAAACTGCATGTTTGTCCGATGACTTACAACCCCTCCACATTCATATTGCAGTCCCCCTGCACACAACAGTCTCTCCATTACATCAAAGTCCCCCTTCACTTCACAGCCCCCCTCACAACCCCATCTTAACAGCTCTGTTCTCAGCCCCCCTTTTTAGCAGTGTCCTCAGTCCCCCCCCCCCCCCCCCCCCCCCCCCCCCCCCCCCTTCCTAGCAGTGTTTTTAGTCATACCTTACTCAGCGCAGGTCTGGACAGAGGGCGGGAGCTGCCCAATTTTTCTTGTTATCAAGCTGGTGATTGGTTGCTAGGGCTCCTGCCTTCTGTCCAGTCCTGCTGCCTCTCCAGTCCTTTGACTTGCTGCGAGGATGATAGACCAGCAGCTGTGGGGAAAGCAGCAAGAGAGGGATCTACAAAGCAGCCAGGACAGAGAGGAAGAGAAGTCCGGCTTCTAAATGATGTAACTGTGGCGATCTGAAGACTGTCACTCAGTCTGGATCCGGACCGCTTTTCACCATTTAGTGATGCCTGCTCTAGATAATCAAATAAACAGGTGGTTGTCAAGTAAGCTCATCTAGGTGTTCAATCCTATCACAATTTAGCAAACTGAATAATTTGACTAACACACGACATAAGTCATACCTGTTACAGGGCAATAAGGATAATGAGTAAAATGCTCCCAAAGGTGAACTAATCCTTTAACTAGCCTTAAAATGTGTATGCTTACCTATTTCCAGTACATTCCAGTACAGTGATCCAGCTCCACTTTGTCAGTCAGCAGAGACTACAGGGGAGAGGAGGGAGTACCAACAACTCATGGGACATGGGAGCCTATGAGTGACATCATGGCTCCCAGAGTTCCCAGCCATTGTCAAAAACTCGCATCTCTCCCCTGCAGCAGCTACTGACTGTTCACATGGCTGGACCAGTGTGACTGAAAATAGGTAAGTATACACATTTTTTTCACAGGTTAGTCAGCATAGGTAGCAGGAGGAGGGAGGGAATATTTTTAAACAGTTAAGCTTAGGCAGGAATTACACTTCAACAGACCAAACAGTCCAACAAAAGTGACAGTTAAAGGGTTGAGACAATCCATTTAATATTTTAACAATGACAGAGGTGCTTACAATGGTCAGCTTTTATTTATGTAAAGCATTTATCACCCATGGAAAAAAGTGCTGCTGTAACGGCTCAAAATAGGTTAGCTGGAGTTTGGCTTTAATTTATCTATAATTTGCCAGAGCATCTAATATTACCCTTTTCCCAGATTGATAATGTTACTGTCCAAAAGGAGTCTCTGTTGCTCCTCCATCCAGTATGGAGACACCCCAAGACAGGAAATATGTTACTGGCCAGATCACCATGTTAAAAAAAAAAAAACAAAAACACTAAAATAAGAAAACTAATGCAGCCACCATATTTAAGGATTGTTAAGCTGCAATGTCAAACTTTTAGTTTTTGGGTTCAATACCACAGTTAAAGTCTAAGTGTAGCCAAAGTAAAAAAAAACAGAAAAATCAGCACAAGGGACATAACTTGCAGTAAGTATGATGTATCTCTTATGCTGATGTCTCTTCATACAGCAAAAAGGCAGTCCCAGGCTCTCATGAATCCTACTTCTTGCCTGCCCAGCTGTTCTATTCATAGCAGCCACACTACAGCTTCTAAGAATGAAACAAGAGCCAAAAATGGAGGATTGGCAGTTGATAGATAGGTCCGCCCCACTTCATCACTAGATCATACTTTATTCACAGAAACTCTAGTGCAGGTTCTATGAATAGAGCAGCTGTGGGGAAAGGACAACCATAGTCAGGCTCTCTTGATGAGAGCCTGTGACAGCTACTTAAGCCAGCCATAGATGGAGAGATTTTCTTCCTGCAACCACTACCCATACATGATTTGAACCGTCTATGGCTGGCTTTGGCTAGATTAAGCCCGCCGTTTCATAAGATTAAAGTGGCGAAGGAGGGGAGGCATGGACAGAGGAGGATTTCAATTAAATGAGTCATCAGCACAAGGGACACATTCTACTGACTGTAAGTTATGTCAATTGCGCTTGTCTGCACTTAGATTTAAAAGGTTAACCCAAACTAATATTAACAAAAGTAATTATGCACACATTTCATATACAATATACTGTAGCGACAGGTTATAAAGATGCTCAATATCAGTATAATATATATGCAACCATAACATTATAATCAAAGCAATTACATAAGTCATGATCAACTAATAAACCATTGTACCTATTTTCTTTTGAAGGTCTGACACAAGAGTGTCATGTTCAAGTCTCATTGCTTCTGATTTTAAAAGAGTTTCCTAAAATTAAAAAACAAACAAAATAAAAAAATAAGCCCAATATGTTCTTGAGACCTCATGCACACTGGACTTAAAGAATGCTGGTTTTAGAGGAGCGTGGAGGGTATTTTTCAGCCTGTAAAAGTAGCTCTATGTTATCTAAATGTCCCTGCACGCATAGGTGTATTAGAAGAGGAGAATTTACGGATTGAAAAAAATAACCCATCGCCAGTTTGTTCAGGAGAGGAGCTTTTGAGCAGAAATAAAGCACAAAGCTAGTTGAATATAGACATCAACGCATTAAAATGGCCAGAATAATTCATATTCTGGCCAACAGAATGCATTTACTTGCGAACATGCATAAATGCATGTGCATTTCACGGCTTTTACTGCGTATTTTTAAGCAGCTTTTCTCCTGCCAGGAGAAAAAAGGCATTCAAAATGGGTAAGCAGAAGCCCTGTGTACAAGAGGCCTTAAGTGACAAAATCAAAGAATGAAGGTTTATACACATGCCTAACCCACAATAATTAAACACAAATTTTCCCACTGAAGTCATAAATTTAAAGCCCAGTTGTAGCCTAAGCTACTACAGTACAGGAAAAGTCAGAGAGCAAAATTTTTTTTTTCTGCATTATTTCTTTAATAGCTTTCCTGCTCGGTGAGAGAGCAACAGTCTATCCCCAGAGTTCATACAAACCCCCTTTGCACAGTTACAAATACCATACTCAAATCAGCAGGAAGTGTAAGCAATGCTGACTGGAGCACAGCGGTTGTAACTATGCCAGGTGTCTCCTAACTCTTGGAACTGCAAGAATAATAAAAGCGTGACTGGACATTATAGTGTAATTGCTTGGAGTGCAAGCTCTACATAAATTTGAATAAAAATTGCAGAGCATATACACAGGCCCAGCCAAAAAGGATTTGATAATCAGTTGTGTCACATGCCATAGGAACAGTTGTAAACCGTACCAAAAAAAAAAAAAAAAAAATCAGTGGTATATACATCCAAAAACTGACCAAAACATTTGTTTCTATACAGGAAGACATGTTAAACAACATGTATGATATTGTCTTAGATGGGAGTGATAAGTCAGTACAGTATACACATGTATTTTATATATACATAAATGTATCAAGAAATGCCTCACTCATGAATTGTGCAACTTTCCCCCTTCCCCTAGACATCGATCTTTAGCACTGAACCAACAGCTAAACAGCTACATGCGTATCTCGGTTTACAAACTTAATTCGTTCTGCGGAACTTTTTAGTATAGCGAAAAATCCATAAACCGAAATGCCGTTTCCCATAGGAATGCATTGAAAACCAATGAATCCGTTCTGGAAGTCAGAAAACAGTAAACATTACTAAAATACTGAGTTATTTTATCAAGTCATGCGGTATTTTAGTAGTGACAACCATGTGTTAATGTTTCAGCTGAGTTCCCCACTGACAGCGGAATGAAAAAGAATTGCCGGCAATTAAAAATATAAATTAAAAACCGGCATGGGGTCCCTCCTCCCATCCATACCAAGCCCTTCGGGTCTGGTATGGATTTTGAATCCATACCCTTAAATATGTAAGGGGCGGGGCCACCCGGGGACATCACCCGAGTGACCCCACCCCATGTGACATCATTAATGTCACATGGGGTGGGGTCACATGCGTGATGTCCCCGGTTGACCCTGCCCCTTACATATTTAAAAACTGTCAAACTACCTGAGCAGGCAGACGGCCAGGGACTATCGTCGGAAGCAGAGCCTTTTTTTTTATATTTTTTTCGGGTCGGCGGCGGACATCGTGATTGATGTTGGATCCACTGCAGGGGACATTCACTTATTTTTTATTTTAATAAAGGACTTGTCAAAGACCGTGTCCTGTCTTTTTTTTACACACTTTTTGTTTTTTGTGAATGAGTAGCAGTACCATGTACCCCATACTCATTCACATGGGGAAGGGGGGGGGGGGGAAGGGGGCTGGGATCTGGGGGCCCCCTTGTTAAAGGGTGCTTCCAGATTCCGATAAACCCCCCGCCCGCAGACCCCCACAACCACCAGCCAGGGTTGTGGGGAAGAGGCCCTTGTCCCCATCAACATGGGGACATGGTGCTTTGGGGGGGGGGGGGGGGAGCCCCTGCCCCAAAGCGCGCCCCCCCATGTTGAGAGCATGTGGCCTGGTATGGTTCAGGGGGGGGGGCTTGCTCGTCCCCCCACCCCCCTTCCTGACCTGCAGGGCTGCATGCTCAAATAAGGGTCTGGTACGGATTTTGGGGTGGACCCCCACGTCATTTTTTTTTTTTTTTGGCATGGGAGTTCCCCTCAAAATCCATACCTGACCCGAAGGGCTTGGTATGGATGGGAGGGGGGACCCCCACACAGTTTTTGTATTTATTATGGTGCTGGTTTTTAAATGTAATTACCGCTTTTATTTTTTCTTCACTATAGCTCAGAGATTTAGCTGTCAATTTACCCCCCAGTTAAAAGAAAGAAAGTTTCCTTTTAGTTTATTTCCCCAAGTTAAAAGAAACAATCTTTCCTTTTAGTTTAAGGGAAATTGACAGCTAATTCTGTGAGCTATAGTGAATAAAAAAAAAAGCTGGCAATTGCATAAAAAAAAAAAAAAAAAAAAAAAAAAATTGCCACAGACATACACTTCATATTGCAAAAAAAAAATTGTAGACCAAGGCATTATTTTCAATGGATTTTCATTCGTAAACCGAAAATTACGTTAACCCGAGGCGTTTGTAAACCGTGGTACACCTGTATTCCTAGGGTGCCAGAGAATAACCTGATGCTATTCACTTTAACATCAATTACACACTGAATATATCAAATGAATGTTCTTGTACAGATGCAACAAAAGCAAGTGACTAGATAGAGGGTTAAGCAAGGAATTCCTCACCTGGATAGAATTTTCTTCTTGTGCACTGACAGCTGACTCTTTGTTTTCTATCACATTTAATTCATCTTGTACTTGTGCCTTAGAATCGGCATCTTTTTTTTCTTGCAAGGAATTCAGGTTTGAAGTCAAATCTTCAAAACGCAGTAGTAACTCCTGATTTTCCAGTTTTAATTTTTCAAGTGCATTTTTCATTTCAAAGAGATCTCTTTGCAGTGCTTCTTTGTCTGCAAGCGTTTCCTCTAGTTCTTTTTTCAGAAGTACCTTTTCCTTGGAGTAGTCATTCAAGAGAGCTCTTAGCTCAGAGCACTGAGCTTCACTCTCTTCTTGCAATCGGTTAATTTGAACAGATGTCTCTTCTCTCTGTAAAACCGCATTTTGCTTTTCTTCTTTTAACTGGAGTACTGCCTTATTAATACCCTGAAGCAAAATACTGATATTTGGATCTAGGCATTCAACTGCCAATAGGTCCTGAACAACAAAAAGCTCAGTTTTTAACTCTTCTAAACAGCGCTCTTTCTGCTCAAGTAAAATTGAAACTTTATCTTTTCCTTCTAATGCCATCTGAAATTTTGTTCTTAGGTTGTCTAACTCATCTTTAGACTCATCACAAGCACTATGTTCACACACAAGCCTAGCAAAGTCTCTTGATATAACCTCCTTTTCTTCTTGAAGTCTTGACGCTTCATCTTGCCATCTTTTTGCATCACTTTCCAACTTTTGTTTGTTAGTAATCAACATGTCTACCTGTTGCTGGAGACCTTTTATTTCACTGAGGCTTTGTTCCCTACTACCCACTGATTCCTGCAGCTGTTGTGTCAGTTTCTCCACCGACTGCTTTAACTGTGCATTGAGCTTCTCCTGTTCTTCAAATTTAAGCTGAAAATTTAGAGCTTTAGCTTCCTCATTTCTGCATAATTGCTGTAACTCAAGGATTTCTGTCCTTGAGATTTCTATGCTGGTTGAAATTTCAGCATTTTGTGTGGCAATCTCTTCCATTTTCAGTTGAAGATCTTTAAAGAAGCTCTCTTTTTCATGTAAAGAAGCAACAACTTCTTCATTATTCTTTTGCAAATGAGTCAACTGAAGTTGAAGATGTTCATTTTCACTCTCAATGGGTGTTAATACAGATTCCTGGAGTTTCTGTGTCAGCCCATCCACCAATTGCTTCAGTTGCTCATTATGTGCTGCAAGGGTTTCAGCTTCTTGATGTAAAGTCTTTACCCTGTCCTGCTCACACCTATACATTTCCTTCAGTTTTTGTATTTCATCAATCGATGCTTTCAAAGCAGAAGACATCTCGGCATTTTCTGCTGAGGTTTCACTCATTTTGGTCTGGAAATCTTTTAGCAGGAGTTCCTTCTGCTGTAGTGATCCTGTAACCTCCTCATTTATTTGTTGCAGATGTGCTATCTTAACCTGAAGTTCTTCACATTCTCCTTGTTTGGTAGAAAGCAATTCAACTTCACACTTTAACTGATTCACAGTTTCAAGAAGATCGTTCTTGTCTTTGTAAGCAGATCGTAGTTTTTGTTGTAGCTCGCTGACATCTGTGGCCTGCTGTTGCTTCATTGCTTCAAATTCCTGGCTTATTTTACCAGCAGACTCTCCAAGTTCGGCCTGAAGGCTAAGGAATGTTTCCCGTAAGCCTTCATAACTGCTCACAGCTTCTTCTTTTTCCTTGTTAATTTTGCCAACCTGTTCTTTTAGAAGATTTATTTCATGCTCAAAAGATAGTCTCTCCTCTTCCAAACATGACGTTATTGACTGTTTCATTTCTACCATTTCCCTTGTGTGCTGCTCTCTCATATTTTTAATATCTTCAGTTCTTTGTTGATAAAGCTGTTCATATTCCATTTTTGTGCTCTGAAGCTTAGTCTGTAGCTTTTCTATTAAAGCATTATAATCTTCAATGGCAAGCTGAAGTTCATTTATTTTGAATTCTAAATCTTCCTTCTCATGGAAATACTCGCTTTTTAGATGCTCAACCTCCTTTTCTAGGCTGATTTTTAAGTTGTTGGTATAGGTGAGCTCATCTCTGAGTAAGCTTTGCTGAGACTCCAGATCTGTCACAAGGCTTTCCAGCCAATGAATGCCATCATCACTGCATATAGGTGGGGTAGGCTGTATTTCAGGTACATTACAGTTCTCTTCCAACTTTTTCCTGAGAATTTCAATTTCTTGTGCATTCTTTTGGCTATCTGCTCCCATTTCCTCTTGTAGCAGTTTCTCTTTCTCAACATACTGCTTAATCAGGTCTTGCAGTACTATTTTCTCCTGTTCGCTCTGTTTTGTGGACCTTTCAAGTTGTTGCATTAAATTTTCAACTTCTTCATGGTGAGAGCCCTGCAGTTTCAGGATGTCTGCATGGAGACATTGATTTTCACCATTATACTGTTCTGAAGTTGCTTGTGCATCTTTCAGCCTTGCTGTTAGTTGGTTGTTCTCTTCTACTGCAGCATCCAGTGCTTTGTCTAAACTAGCTATTTTGTCATTATAAGTCAGATGGATATGTTGAAGTTCTTCCTCCAGTTTTCTAAGTTGTATGTCTTTTTTTTCTTGTAAGCTCAGGCTATCAGTCAGCTCTTTTTGTTTCACAAGTGCATCTTGAAGCTCGTTTTTCATGGCATCAAGATCTGTTTTATGATTGTTCTGCGTTTGCAGTAATTCATTTTTTAATACTTCAATTTCTTGTGACAGAGCATTATTTGAATCTTCCATATTTTGCTGCACCTCAGTTGCTTTTTTGATAGTACTCTGGAAGACAAAATTTGCAAGACTGAAAATATAGTTGAACAATATCCCTGCCTACAAGAAACAAAATATGGAAACCGTTTACAAACAACACATTATTGTTGCTGTATAACTGAGGTCTCCAAACTTTTTGAAGAAAGGGCCTTCAAACTTTAGGAAGCCGGACTGTGGCCATAGGGAGTAGAAATTTTCCAGGCGTCAGTGGGAGTAACCAATGCATCTTTCGTATTAGAAGGAGGAATAGTGCGCCATCATTGGGGTCAGTGGGGTAATAGTGCCCCATCGTTGGGCTCCGTGGAAGGAATAATGCCCCATTGTTGGCGTTAGTGGGAGGAAGAGTGGCTTGTATGGGGAGGAAAAGTGCCCCAAGGGACAGATAAAGGCTAGCAAGGGGCCGCATCTGGCCCCCGAGCCACAGTTTGAAGACCACTGCTGTATAATGTTTTAATAAATATGTAGGATTTCATTACATAGTTACAAAGTCATTCTAGTAAGGATTATATGTCAGAAATCTGCAAGAATAAATTTGTAATCCCCTACAACAAAAACAATGTAATCGATGCCAAGGTCTTTTTAAGAGTAGCTATACACTCACCGGCCACTTTATTATTAGGTGCACCTATTCAATTGCCTGGTAACACAAATTGCTAATCAGCAAATCACATGGCAGCAACTCCATGCATTTAGGCATCTAGATGTGGTGAAGACGACTTGAAGTTCAAACAGAGCATAAGAATGGGGGAAAAAAGGGAATTTAAGTGACTTTGAACATGGCATGGTTGTTGGTGCCAAACCGGCTTGCCTGTGTATTTCAAAAACTGCTGGTCCACTGGGATTTTCACACACAACCATCTCTAGGGTTCACAGAGAATGGTCCAAGGAGAAAATATCCAGTGAGCGGCAGTTATGTGGACAAAAATGCCTTGTTGATGTCAGAGGAGAATGAGCAGACTGGTTGCTGCGACATTCAGACGGTAGGGGCAGAATATGGCTTAAAACATGAAAGCATGGATCCATCCTGCCTTGTATCAACGGTTCAGGCTGGTGATGATGGTGGTATAATGGTTTGGGGGATATTTTCTCAGCACTAGCAAGATGTACCTAATAAAGTGACCAGTGAGTGTAGATTGCCATATCAATCAAAAGTGTCTCAGTTTACATAAACGTATAGATAAACCATGTTTAACTAACTATGCATGGAAAGCAGAATGCTATGTGTTAATCACTGCAAGTTTTGTGAACCATTAATACATAACATACGTGCCAAAAACCTAACAAATAAAAAAGAAGTTCTGAAGTATTTCAGGTCTATATAGCATATGCGGTCTTGTTTAGAATAGACAGCTACTGTATAGGTGTTCTGATGGCCAGCTGGTTCAGCACACCAAATAATGTTTGCTATGGTTACTGAAAGTAAAAATTTGCACATTAAAAAAACCAAAACACTTTTTAATAAGTAAAGCTGATGGACTGTTAATAAGGTAAGTTATATTTACCTCAGCTTCTTCCTTTGTTTTAGCATATTCTTTCTTCAAAGATATTAGCTGTTGTTGATTTTCCGCTTTTTCCAGCAGCACAACATCCAGTCGTTCAGTGAGTGCCTAGAAGAATTAAAGTAATATATGTTGTTGTCTCAAGATCAAGAATAAACACAATTCAAATGTAGACATGTTGTCCAGTACATTGCTTTTTGGCAAAATTAGTTGCCTTTTCAGAAAGATAAACTAGCCTACAATTTTGCAGCACTTTTATGCTAACTCTATACTTTCCCTATATTGTAAACAGAATTAGAATTACTCCATACCCCAACAACCAGAACAAAATGACCAGTCTAGCAACACTGAACAGACTACTAAACACAAAATATTGGCACAACATTTACTAATTGGCAGTCCTATATACTGATGCCTATAGCAACACAGTTTACTGCATTGGCACTACACGAAGGCTACCTATATCTGCTATTACACAATAAGAAACAGGTTGAGAGAAAGTAAGAGATATAGTGGTAGAAAAAGAATGGTACTTAAATACAGCACTTGCATAAAAAAAAAAGAGCCTTTTACCTGCACAACACCATCTGTCTCTTCAACTGGTTTTGATTTTACAGTTTCTATTTCTTTTTCCAGCTCTGCAAATTAGATCAGGTACAAAGCAATGAGAAAAGCAGTGGAGAAAAAGAACACATTTTGACGCTTCATTATTAATGATATAATAAGTAGTACATTAGGGATATTCACTTTATAGTTAAATAACTGATCATGTTATGATCTGGATGCTATGTATAGTTTTCTACA